CCTACAGCTGCATATTAGCAAATAGAACAGAAGTAATAAAGCATCTTCTATTAGCATTCTCAAGTATGTAAAAGCGAGTGACAAAGAATAAGCATACCTTGCTGATGGCAAGATATTTTGGGATGCTGTCTAGTAATAAGACTTGAGAGGTTACGGTAAAATGAAAAGACTGAAGAAAATGTGTAGCTTGTTTTTTTATTTTCTAAAATTGAGTATTTGCATTATTAAGTATTATATATATCTCTTACCATCTTCATTCAGGAACAATTTGTTGAATCTTAATCCACTAGGCTCTTTACCAACATATCTGTGCACATACTCTGTGCCAAGATCATTAACAGCAATAGCATATTTCAAAGGCTTTACACAGGACTGAAGACAAAATGGAACTTTGGTATCGCCAACAGAATGCCTGGGAAAAACACAGATAAAGAGTTCTGAAATTTCCTGTTTGTCAGCTGCAGCAAGTAGAGTGTTAAATGCTTCATCCATTCTTTAACATACTAGGACTATTAAGAAAATCACAAAAAACCCTAAAGCATATTATTGTTAAGTCTCATTTTAAAAACTGGAACAAAAAGATTTAAAGACTGAACAATTGCCTCCATAAGCTAAGCATAACAAAGTCACTTGCTGGTAATTACTGCAGATGTAACAAAATAAAAGCAAGTTCAGAAATGTGTTTGTACCAGAGCAAAAAAATCACCTTAGAGCTCCAGTATCACACTTAACCTACTCAATTGCAAACCACATACTCAACAGGGCAGAGCTGACCCGAATATAGCCACTACATATATTTATGTCTATATAAATACAGATAAGATCCAACTCCAGTTTGGAATTCAAGAGCAATAATTAAATAATTGTATTTACGTTTGCTTTGATAATGGCATAGGTATTTTCTTACAATTATTAAATGCCATCTTCTGGAAAGTGTACTTTCAACATCTAAGTCAGACTGCATCGTGAAATGACTCATACAAGCAGCAGATGCCGCATCTAGAGCGAAAGTCTCCAAGCAACCACTAGTCTGATGGCAACATCAGAAACGTATTTGCTTCTTTTCTTTGCAGAAAATGTGGAAAGGTTTCAGAGAAACTCACAAAAACACTTTGGCATTATAAAAACTGACATTACACAACTCTAAACATTACAAAAATTAGCATTATAAAAACTTTGATTAGTACGTGTTATAATATCCAAAATAAAATGCTAATTTAATGTATTTAAAAACAGCTTTACTTTTAAAGCTGTCTTACTATGAATAGATTATAATTTAGATACTTAAGCAGGGAGCTGAAAAATACTTCAACTCACTTGTATATGGCTAGTAAGAAACAAACACACAGTCATAAAAGATCACATTAAAGTGAACTCCAATCCATAGCCACCATAAGCAAGTCTGATGCTCCTTCAAGAACGCTCCATTCAGCCAAGATGTACCAAACACCTAAAACTTATGTTACTCCGAATATGCAATATGACCATATCAAACTGCAGGACAGTAGAGACATGCAAGCTGATGAGCATCTCACACTGTCTAGTTGCAAAGGTGGACACAGAATATTTTATCTTATTTCTCAGCTAGATGGTGAGAGATACTCTTTTATATTTGGGCTCATAACTGTCTCTGCTACACTGAGTCACTGCTCAAGAAAAAATAAAAATAAAATCACTCTAGCCATATCTTAAGACCTACATACATCCTTACAGGAGAAAATTTAACAAACCTGAAAGGAAAATCATGTTAAGTTCTGTTAAGTTTCCATGTCTCCATTTTCTTTTTAAAAAATACAGATCTGAAAACTTTCAGTGATGCATAGTGATCATATAATAATGCTACAACAAGAACACTAAAATGCAGAAAAAGAACTAACTTTTATGTATAACATGAGCTACAGAAAAATTAATACAGCTCAAGGTATGGGTACTATTGGACAAAGCTCTTCAACTTCCAAAGATTAATACTATGTAAGCATTGTCTTCATCTTGTCCTTTGGTAAACACTGAAATTACCCACAGCTTCATTACTGTGTTTGGATCATGAGCGCAATATAATCCAGCCTCAAATATAGTATTTACAGATACTATTTAAATAATATTTTATAAAAATAGCAAAGTAATTCAGCTTAACTAGAGAAGCTGAAAAAAATGCCAAGAAAGATGACCAAATGGGTTTTATTTCAACACCAGTAAAGCTTTTTCTTTATTAAACCATGAGATATCATGCAGTACTGTGTGTCAGATAGTTTAAGTAACTGAAATAGCAAAATCTGTAAGTTAGAATATACCTCTGTCCATCCACTGTGCAAAGTGACACCCCCCACAAATCAGGGCTGAACTTGGCCAGCTGTGGAATATAGTCAGCAACCTAACACCATGTGAAATAAAAAGAGACATTACAACATCCAAAATTTTTCACTGTATATTAATATATGTTCATTAAAATAAACACCAAAGGAAAGGATACACGAGGTACAACTGGATTATTCTACTAATAATCACCTAGTATATCTAAAACTTCATTACAAACTATTATATTCACTAGATTATTATAAAACAAAACATTTTATCAAAGTACAAACTTCAGCACATTCTAAGAAGAATCCATTCTATGTTATGCATGTTTAGCATTTTCAAATCATAAAAAATTTTGGTATGTAACAAAGTCTGGGGTTTTTCCAACTAACTTATTGGAAGTAAGCACTAGAATAAACTTTAACTACTAACATAGGTATGGTGTTGACAATTATTTCTGTCACACAACCCAGCCAGTTGTATAGAGTAGCGTAATTTTTTTAAGTTTACTCTGACAAATTATACAGCAGTTTCATAGTTTCTGTAAAATAAAGAAAGAACAACACCATTTTCTCACTCTAACCTCAAAACTGTAAAAGACTGTTAGAGTTAAGCAGCTGTATTTCTAACATAGTTCACAAGTTGCAGAGCAAGGTAGTTTTGGAAGTTCTGTTATTAGTTTAACATTTTGCTAAAAATGTTAAAAAAAAAAATCTGTCTACTTAACAAAGAATGTATTTGGTTAATACCAAGAGAACTATAGAAGTTTGAAGTTGAATTCACAAACAGGTTACCTTTCCTCCAGATTGTTTTTTAGCACTTTCATATAGTTCATCAATATGTGAAGTAAACGACATAAAATCTGGAATGACAAACTTCCTCCTGAAAGCTTGAGTAAGCAACACAATATTACTTTGTACACACCTGCAAAAAGTTAAAAAACTTTATTAGTATAGAAGTACTGTCAAAAAGCCTACTTAAGCAGCAATTGCATGCTATTTTAATAAAGACTGTCAGTCCCTTGAAGCTATATGCCTAAAAGAACATGTCTTTATTAGAAAGACTTCTCAATTTTCCACTCCTTAAGTTATAAATTGTTTTAAAACATATTTAAAATTGTTTAATTGCATTTGTTTTTATGCTTTTTTTATTTAAAGCCCTTATTTGAAGTTTCAACTGTAAGCCTGTACTGCAAGCTACTATCGATTTGCTCTCAAGTAGCATCTAAGCCTGCAAAAGGGATCTAAGGCAGCCATTTCTTCAGAACAAGGTATGTGACAGCCACCTAACCCAGCCCTTGTCCAAAGAAGCGCTAATTTCAGGGTTAGATCAGACTTCTGACATTCAGAGTTGGTTTCTCTTACTTGCAACTGGTTTCACCATGAATTGAACAAGAACACTGGCAACAGACCAAACTGGAACAAGTTTCCACTCTGATAAGAACAAAATTCTGTGGAAGTACTTCATAAAGTATTCTAAACTAAAGTTAACAGTGAGCAGCACTGCAAGTCTCTTGCTTCAAACTATCACCAGTTAAGGAATCTTTGCTGCCTTTTAACCCACAATGTATGATCGCCCACGCCCTCTGAACATCAGCCCATCTGGTATATTTAAAAAAAAAGATGAGGTATAAAGGAAAGGCCTTATCTAGGAGAAACAGAAGAAAGGAAGGATCAAAACACAAGCTGAGACATGCTGCTGAAAGCCGTCTGTGAGTGGGGGGTGAGAGGGAGCAGGGGAGGGAATCAGGAGCCACTATCGCATCAGTTGAAATATGAGCTGATAAAGGGTATTAAGAGCCCTATCCCAGTGGAAGAAGAGAAAGGGAGGTTTAACACCAAACAATTCCCTTAACACATTCATACTATCCTGAAACAAACTGTTAATACAGACAAATGGAAAGTTAGGAACATCTAGACCCATATTACAAATAAGCCCATATCCTACCAATGAAGGAAGTAAAAAATTTAGAATAAAAGTAAAAAATCATTTTTAAGGAAATACTTTCACTTGGAATAGATACTTCCAATAATCCTATTATTAAAAGTCATTATCAGTTCACAATGAAGTTGCATGAAGACCAGTGAACAGGCAGAATTAGCTTCCCTTTGAACCCCCTTCTTTTTTCAAAGCTTCAGTTTGAACTCCTTTGTACTTAGGAGACTTTATCCCAAATTCAAGTGACAACATTTTAAATGCTGGCAGGCACTACTCTACAAGAGGGAAAGAAAAACAGTAGAGAAGTTTCCATTGTACACACTGACATCCTAAGGATTGCTCTGTCTGTAATAAGCTGCTTTGTTAGCCTATGTTAAAATAGCAAGTGAGTCAGTTTGGTTGTAATTTGTAATGCTTATCCACTCCTTTTTTACATATCTTGCAAAAAATCATGGTCATTTTTGCTCCTAGCCACCTCCAATTAGTTACCTACTCCAGGTGCAACAACTCCTTTTTAAAAATAATTAAGTTATGGCAGCTGTATGTGCAGAAGGAATAACCTTCAGATGCACTTCTACATTGTCTGAATCACCTCGACAGCATTAAGCATTCTTGTAAGAAAAAAAAAAAAAATTAAAAAAATTTGAAGTTTACCTAAACCTACTAGAACAACTCAAAAATACAAAGTGTGGAAAACAACAAGGCAGTATGCACTGAAATACAGTCCTCTGAGACCACATTATGTTTCTGAAACAGGAAAGGTATTTATACACTTACCAGTTCACACCAAGTCTAGGATGCTCACTTCAAGAATTTAATCATTTTAAGCTAGAAGCTGAAACTCACTGCAGAAATAGCTATGCTGGTTAAGGACATTATCTATTTCTGCAAGAAGTTATTGTTCTCAGACTTCTGCTGAGGTCAGTGTCTGGGTATTTATCCTGGTACTCTTTAACCCAGGCAAATCGTATGAATTCATAGGCATTAAATATGGAGTTTCAATTAATCTAGATGGGTACTCGTAACATGGACATGCATGGACAAAATTAAAGGGGTCTTAGTAAGCTCCAATTAACGGGGCAGTAATATTATCAGTCAACAGAGGACACTAGCCTTGACAGCCTCTAATATCGGCATCTGACATCTCCTCCTCACTGGAGTTTCGAACTGGTTTATGTTCCAGGTAACCCTTCGGAGACAAACACAGAAGTAGGAAAAGACTGCATGGAGAAATTTAAGTAAATGAATATACTGATAAATAAAAATCTTTCTACAGTCAAACTTTTATGAACATGTAGCCCTTATCGCCAACGTACTTTAGCAACGTTCAAGATAGGTACACTAAAAACTTCCCACCTCAAATCCTTCCATTTCATAATCCTTCCAAACTTCATAATCTCACCCTAAAAAATTCTGTCTTGCCAAATCCCAATCCAAGCACTTCTCCCATTTGAAAATATGTCTTTTCAAATTATAAAACTTCCCTGATAGATCTGGGTTAGGAAGATTAGGATGCAAATCTTACAGCCGATAATAACTTTCAGTGATTTGTATAACGTGAAAGTAACAGCTTGGGTTGTTTGGGGTTTTTTGAAACTGAATCTTTGGTCTCTAACATAAAGTTAGGATTACTTTGTTTCCTTTACCATGGAACTTGTTACATTTATCCATTCTTTTTCGAGTTCTGGCTATAATTGTGGATTTTTCCTACACAAAGTAGACATCTACTAAAAATACAGTCTGAACTCCCACCAATTCTGAAGAACTGTTAGGCTACCCATATAGCTGGATCAACACCTTTTTTTTTTTCTGTTTAAAAAGCTACGGTATGAGCATTACAGAAAGGAATGTGAAACTCCATTTCCAACTAGGAAGACTAGGTCTGTAGAAGTGTTCAGTATTTTTAGACATTTTAGGAAAAAAGTGACATTATTTTGACAAATGAGGTATGGATATTATAACACAGTGGAAGTCCTCTACATCTGCTATCAAAAGCGTCCTAATGGCTCAAGCCAATAGGATGAAAGCATTTAAGAATAACTGGATTAAGGACATCTAAAATGAAAGTTTTTCTCAGGATTTGCTACCTAGATTGAGAGAATGGCATAGCCACTTGGAAGCAAATAGATAACCCTGTTTGAGATCTGGCAACAGATTGTCAGGTTTATGCTTAGAACATAACATACTCAGATTGCTGCTTCCTACCTGCAGCTCAGAGAAGACTCAGCTAGGAAGACCACAGTTGAAGGTCAATAAAGCTGGACAGACAGCACCTTGTGACTAGGGCTAAGTCTACAAGGCCAAGTAAATTATTCTGAAAGGGAACAGAGTTTAAACCTCAGAGTTGTAACTGCTACTCAGCAGCTACCATCTCACTCAAGCACACATTGCTTTAAAAATAACTCAGTGCTGACTGCCTCATGCCTTTCCTTTCCCCCTGTCATTGACCAAAATATTGTTAGTTAAGAAACAAGGCTTTTTGCAAGTCTTCTATTTTTCTATTAGGAATGAGCTCTGAGTTAAAGGAAAAGCTAAGAGAAGTAGGAGAATTTCTTACAAATATTATCAGAACTTTTTTTCTACAAATTACCTACAACATCATAGATATAGATCTAAAAAATAGGATATGTCAAAATGCGCACACTTCATGTGGAAGGTTAGAGTGCACCATCTTCCATATCTGTTAAGTTGCCCAAGTTTCATCTAACAACAGATAATACTACTACTTTAGTAAGTAACACTACAGCTAGGGTAGCCAAAAAAAAAAAGAAAAAAAAAGAAAAGAAAAAATCCCCATAGCAAGCTAACTAGCATGCTCTGCTGCTTGCAATAAGCAGGCTGCTCTCAGTGAGCCTGCTACAAAGACCACACGTTACATTATACACCTGCAACATGAACAGCTACTTCAAGAAATTTGTCAAGCGCTTTCTGAAATGTGCACCAGTGAAGCCTTCAATTCAAGAAACTCTGGATTTGGCAAATTAAAAACCCAAGTTGTTCTGCCTGTAACATAGAGATTTTTTTCCAATTTTTTGTTCAAGTGGAGAGCACTGCAGAGCCAAAAAATCTTCAAAATAAAGCAAGATTAGTCAAATTGGAGTCTTAACATTTAGAACACTAAAAAGGTGTTGAAACTTACATTACAAAGACAGACAGTACAGATGCAAGAGCTAAAATATTTTACGGGTAATTTCTACTAGACTTGATTGATTTAGTCAAGCTTATGCTATCACTATGCCACATCACTTAATCCTGATGCTTTATTTGACCTAGCAGCTTTGGATTCAAATTCAACAGGAGAATTACACCACTGACTTTTATGTTTAGGGAACTGAAGCTTCAGACTCCCGAGGTAAGTACAGCTGAGTAGATGCTTATTATATTGCACACCTTAAACACTTGGAGAAGAACAAAAAATACAGGAACCTTGTACAAGTCTCCACAACACAAATGCAGTGTGCCTAGGAGGAACAGAGAACTGAAGTTTGCGGGGTTTTAAATTATAAAAACGGTTGGCACCTGCTGCTGCAAAGGAAAACCTGCCATGTGAGAACAGATCTACCTCTCCATCCTCTTTATGTTTGTCTTTATGTTCAAAACTCTTTCTACACAACAAGTAACTGTATAAGCTTTCCACAAATTATCACAGTAGCAACCACTCCCCTAATACAGAGGATCAAATCCTAGAGATATGATGTAGAACACAGGCTAATCTTCAGCCCTCTAATTAGCAATCACGTGTCCTTTTTTTTTTTTTAATACAGAGCCCTTGTCAAAAACATAATTCATAGTTTACTACTACAAACAAGCTTTATAGTATAAACATAGTGCATAATAGCAAAAGCACTTCCTTTCCAGTACAACCATAAACCCAGGAATGTTTCTGACTCAGCAATTTAGAGTTTCTACTGTGCTGACAAATAACCAGGGAAGACCTGGTCTTGAACTTAAACACAGGAATAAGTTAGTCCATGTTGTACCTTTAAGAAGTACCCCACACTGATTACAGAGTTGACTGGTTTGCTATTTGTCACACACACAGATACTCTTATTTTCCTCAATGTACTCCCAAAAAATGTTGATATATATTAAAAGGAATATAACATACATACTTTCTGTTTATATTTACACAAACTAGGTAAAGATATAGTCCAGTATAAACATACACTGTATACTATGTATTTTATATACTTATATGTATATAACATATATACACAATTACTTATGTAAACACATCTTTTTTTTTTTCCTCACACATACACATATATATTTTAAATTGTAACTGAGAGGAAAGAGTACTTCACAGCATTAGTTCACAAATTAAAAAATGCTACAGAACAAAAATGTACCAATTTTGACAAATGTATACTCTTCATGAAAGAAGCAAGTTTTAGATATTATGTCATTTACCCTATAAATTGAATAAAAATATAGACTCAAAAACAGTCTACAAATTTCGTTTCAAAATTTAAGAGCCTCTAAACTTACAAACTCTTGATACACAAAAACTGTAAGTAGGGGAGTGAAGGAGCATGCTTGGAATGAACTGAAGACAACCTGAACAGTGCTTATATTGTTCAGCTAACTGACCACAGACTTCTCTTAAAAAAAAAACAAAACAAAAAAAAAAAACTATCACTAACATAAGGCACGTAAATCTTTTCCAAAACAGACCAAAGCTGTGTCTGCAGTCCTAACTACTCTCACCTCAATATATCTTGCAATTTAACTTTACTCTATTTTTCATTTACTCACTTTTAGAACTAACTACATACCTATCCTGAACATCTCACTACACAGAAGCAGCATCCTGAACTTCAGATTTAAAACTGATAAGGCAGCAAGAGAGAAGTTTTATGTACTCATACTAAATGCTTCATGTCGTATCAATTAATTTATTTGGCATCTGACCGAGAGTTGCAGTATAGGGTCAGATACACGTGCAAGCAACACTGATACATTAAACTCTTGTGGAGATCACACAATCTGTCTGCTGCGTGAAACCAGAGAACAAGCTCATATGAAAATAGCATCAGTGGGAGTGTGTGTTTGACTCCCCTTCTAATTACATGTAGATTTATATACCTTATGTTCTCCTAAGACAGCAGTCAGTAACACACACAACATTCATTTAAGATTACATAGTTACATTATTGACAGAAAGTTTACTTTTTAAAAAGGTCTTTGTCCAGCATAACACCATCTGAAGTCGTCTGAAGGGTCAGTCTTAACATATCCATGCACTCTTTCAATCGGGGATCAGCTGTACGTAATCCTGTAGATTTGAGTGCCTATTACAATAAAACAGTAATTACTACAATGAAAAAATATACTATTACAATCAAGTTCTCTACTATGCAGTCCTATTTATCAAGATAAGAGACATCTGCTCCTGTGTTCTCACCATGGAGACATTTTGATACCTTATTGATCCTTTCACCATTTTGTCTGCATCTGATGTCAAAGGCTTAATGTCATCTGAAATCCACAGTGGTCCAACTACATTTTACACAAGTGCAAACACTACCCAGCCCTGCCATAGACACAGAAGCTTTCAAGTATACTCTTTTGCATAGCAAATAAGTGAATAACAATATTAGTACACCCATTCTCTTACTTAATTAAAGAAACAGCGTCGGGAGGGCAGAAATACAGTTACATTCCTTGCTGCAGCTAACCACGTATAACAAATGCTTTGCTTTATATTCTTACATTTAGAATGTTAAAAAAACCTTGTCATAGTTAGCTTTCATATAGCACTCTGGAAGAGTAAACTTACAGTTATGAATTTATGAACTGGTATTTTTTCTTGTCCTTCTGCAATAGTATAGAAAAGTAGATCTTCTAAGCTAGGAAGGAGACCTTGCTTCACTTTACTGGAAAAAAAAAGAAAACATGCATAATTAGTTTGGTGCATATTTTTATTTATAGACATTTTTGCATTGTTCACAAGGAAACGCATTTTCACTACCAATACAACTGTTACCTTTAATTTCAAATAAGGCTTTTATCAGTGAACACAATTAATTCAGCTTTAAGTAGGAAAAAATTTTACTGTTCAAAGTAACATATATACTCCTTACAAAGCAAACCTTTTTAGCTGCAACATAGTCATGTTTTTACTGACGCACCTTTTTTGCTAAGATTATACTTAGAAACCATTTGGAGCAGATTTATCACTTTTCCCTCTTCTTGATGTTACAGAGGACAGACATGCTATTTGCTCAGAGGATAAAGTATTTAGAATTTAGTATTTATGTGCCTCATAATAAAGCTGTGAGAGCAGACAGGCACAATTGTTCCACAGGCGAGAAAAAGCAGATATGATGAACGTGTATTATTTTCTTCAAAACTGTCCTGTTGTCAGTAACTCCTAGAAGGAGTCATAAAGCCCTTCTCCTCCTAGAAGCTTACGTAAGCCACATCAGTTACAGTGAAAGCCAAAGCCGTTGGCAGCATAATACAGTAACTCGAACCAGCTCAGGCAGCAGAAGCAGTAACTCATCGTTCATACTTAGAGTAAGTTAATGTGCAGTGTAGATTCATCTTTAATGGTCACTATGTTTATCACTGTAAATACACTGGCTCTCCAAGCATTCCATGAGTTAACTACTTTCCTCTCAGATATGCTTCCTGATGCCTGCATCTTTTTTGTAACTTACATCTCCCTCTTAAGTGAAACATGAAGGAAATCTACCAGATGAAGCATCGAGAGTCCTTCCAAGAGAGAAAGCTGTAGTACTGATAGCTTTCCCTCAAAGCTTTTGGAAGTTCTCTAAAGGTTGAACCTCAGAGTTTCACCTTCCCTTGATATTCCAAAGCACCCTGCAGCAAGCAGGAGCGCAAGTCTGGACTCAGTTCTTTATGCTTCCCCTGTAAGTAGAGCATCATAGCATACAGCTGGAATGTACACTTCCAAACTGCCAGGGGCAGCGACAGCAGAGGGCTTTGGATCAGTCCTGTTAGTCCCCTAAAGTGCTTGGGCTTGTTTCTAGGCAGTCAGTTTCAAGGAAGCCAATATTCTGATGTTTGACAAGCAAAAATAAATAAAAACAAAACAGTTCTCTAGTAAATGTAGACATAAACTACCTAAAATGCAGAGTATGCAGTCTTACATTACCTTAGCCATCGATTTTAATGCTCAGTCTAATAATCTAATAATATTGGCAACACTTTGTTACTATACTGTAATATATAAAAGCTATTGCCTGAAACTAGAATGCTGAGTGGCAATTTACCTATTTTTATACACATATACATGTGTATACAAAAAAATAGGTCTGAATTCTAGTCATGGAAGTTTTCATAAGATTAGTAATTCTTTGAATATCAATACTCAGGGTTATAACTACGAAAATAAAATACTAAAACTAACCACAGAACATACATATGTTACCAATGCAGTCTTACACACTGACAAAATACTAAAACTAACCACAGAACATACATAGGCCAATGCAATCTTTCTTACACACTGATGTTACCAATGCAGTCTTACACACTGATGTTAATAATCCCTCCTCTCCTGAGACTAGCTTAGCCTAGCTCAACAACAGGTCAGATTTATAATTATTTGTAATAAAAATCTGATTATACCCAAATACCCTTCCAAAATTAAGACAACCTTTAGACTGCACTCACCTCCCTCCATGCCTCATAACTAGCAGTGAAAACCAGCAGTAAAAAACCTACTTCTCATTTTCCGATTTATTTAAAACACTCTACTTACATACTAAGAACAGAAGACAGCTTTGTAAGCCAACAGAACTTCCCTTGTCTTCCAGTCTGGATTTTTTTATTTTTTTTTTTCCCCAAATGATGCTGGCTGACTAATGCACAGACAGTCTGGCAATTCAACCAAGACAAACGCCTGCAACTACCTCAAGCAAGTTACTGAACACCCTTTTTCCTAAAGAAAAGTCAAGTCTTCCACACAGCACATTTTGCTTTCAGTCTTTTGAGACCAGTCTGTCCAGTCAAGCCAAGAGAACCAAAACTACTAACACACCAACTAAAGCCTCATCCTAACCCTGCAGCTACAGACATTTTTTTAAAGCTACGCTGAGTTACACGGCCTATGACCCTATGTCCTCCCCCATTTACAGACCTTTAACTAAGCTCCCCAAAGCAATGAGATTTCATGTTTTAAAGAATGTCTCCACTACAAGACTTGTTACTGGATTGCTGAAGGTCTGACAGAGGAAACTCCCACATTTCACTTTCACAAAACAAGCCAGCAAACACACTGAGAAATTTTAACTGATAAGCTATTTAATTACAAGCTTCTGAGCTATTACTCAGAATTTTACAGTTGTTCCAAATGTGGAATTTCTATCTGGAAGTGTGCAGGAAAAAACTTCAGACATTTGACCAAGATTTTTATCTGTCTCTCTCTAAGATTTTCACCTATTAAAGAGATGTGCACCTTTCGCAGCATAAATTCTCTCTTGACACAGTTTCCACATCTTCCACAGCTGCTGCTGTTCCATATTGGGTCAGTCAGCCTAATTTAACAATGGACCTGAACTGACTGCCAAAGCAAAGAGGATGGCATTCAATATATTTACAGAAAATTGCTCTTTGTCAAATAGTCCATCTTTTGATAAAGTTTATCATCTAAATAGAGGTGGAAAGGCTTGCTCTGCAGTTTATCAGGTCAGTGGTATCAGTAAATAATGTTTGCTTAACCTAAAAGCTATGTTTTGGCACCGTGAGCACACTTAGCAAGATAGTGCTGTTCAGCACACATTGCAGAGAGCTGTTTTTCAAGTCAGGGAACTTGCAGTTTCCACAGTCAAATTAAAGTGGAAATTCCAGTTTATTCCATTTCATGAATAATGACTTTTCATACTTATTTCCCTTGAAAAAAAATCAATAAATTAAGCACTAGACTATTAAAAAACTAGACTTCTTCAGTGGTACTCTAACCTGTGGACTAGAATATTGGCAGATGCCCCACACTGCTCTTTAAATATAAACTACAACAGAATGCAGGAATTCCAAGCACAAGGACTTTGTGGTCCACACCGTTCCTTCCTTCAGCTCTTCCTTTTGCATCACTGCGATGCTTATAGCAGATTCCAAGGAGGATTTAATTTTACCAAAAGCTGAATTATAATTTCTACAACATAAAAGAGATTAAATTTCAAATCCAATGAAACATTCCTACTTTGTACTTCAAGGTGTAACCAGCAAAATGCAGAACAGGATTTAGAGAGGAAAAGACAAAGATAAAATGCGACTAATAACAGTATCAGGCACATTATTAACCATAAGACACCAGTCCTAAAAATAGGAGGTCACAACAACGGAAAGCTGCAAGCGCTGCAACCCGCAGTCAGGAGCCACTCCATCTAAAACAGGCATCCTGAAGTTGTCACAACACTGCAGGTAACACCTGTCAAGCCACTAAATAACCCTTTTCTGTCCACTTGCATAGCTGGACACTGACCCCAGCAGCTGGTAACCATTTTACCTGGGGACTTACCGTGATTCAGACAAAACTACGTATTATAAACGTGAAGATGGACATGTTTTAGTAGATGTCAGAGTATTTATGGTAAAAACAAGAACTGTCGCTTCAAAACCTTAGCCTTGAAGGAAGTTACGAAAGGTCTAACGAAAGCACACTTCTAACAGTTTCTTGCACTTGTGAGTATTATATCCATATCTGACAGGAGTAACCAGTCAGATGAACCACTGTCGGGCTCTTATGCAGTTATTCCTCTGGAATCTGGCCTGGGTGCAAAAGCAAAATTAGTTTTAAAAGTTATCTGCAGAGTTCATCCCTGTCCTTAAAAAGGAACATTATCACTCCCTTGTCATTCTAAGAAAAAATAAACAAACAAAAGACGCCCCACTTCATTAACCATTTTGCTATATTCCATATACTAGTACCCTTCACTATTGCAATTTACTTTTAAAATCAAGGTTGCTCACATTTTTCTCCTCCCTCTCAGCTTAATCGAGGCCTTTGTAATTTATAAATCGCTTATACCAAGATAAACTATGTTTGATCCTCCTACTGTCCAGCATAACATGTAAGAAGAACAATGCAGAATGAAAGTAGCAGTAAATATTGTTAAACATTAATATTACATACAAGTTTATAATTTAAGACTGTACTGGGTAACTATGTTTAATGTACTTAAGCACAACACAAATATGACTGCATTTTAATCCACATCCTTCATTTATCAAAATTACCAGTTTATGACCACTCTCAGTGTAAGCTCAAATATTTTTCCTTTCCAAAATATATTAAATTTCAGGTGGATACACAGAGTGAAGGCTGGATAGCAGGGATAAGGAGGTGGTGGAAGACGTTCAGGAAAAAATACACAAGGAGATCTGGCTATGCAATGGGATACCAGTTATTTCATCAGCCACAAGACCTCATAATTTATTCCCTTTATAAGGAACTAAACTGCTTTAAATTCCTGTACAGTCTTTGCACAAAACATTTAGGCACTCACAACTCCTATTCTCTGTACATGAGGACTGTCTGGCAAGCAAACAAGCACGAAAATCTTAGTGCTGTCTTTTGACGCTGTAGGTTATTCCAGTATCTAGAATCATGACCTCACAACCAAACAGAAAAAAATAATCCCCCAAAACAAACAAAAATGAAAGTGTAAAAAGGACTGTTGTCTTCCAGCTGGGTCTACAAACCATCTGCCAAACACAACTCGAACATTATATACTGCTGGATGGCAAAGCTCTGGAATCTGCAGAACACAGACCACACTGACAGCCCACTTGTCAATTTCATCCCGAAACCTGTCTTTTGAAGAACTCCACTTGTCTTCTGAATCCTGCACTCTTGTCTTAACATAACAATGATTTCCACACATAATGTACCATTTAAAAATGCTTCAGGAAGATTTTCGTAATTCTGCATCAAGAAAAATAAGAATGAAAGTATCCAGCAGCCTGGATAACGTGTCACAGAAATTCCTGCACAGCCTGAACTGAAAATAAACTGTTTCTAGCTTTTTCCTTACTCTTAACCATATGCAGTAGGTTTTCTATAATTGTACCTTGTTCATTTTGCAGTAAGGCTCAAAGAACAAGCATCTGACTTTCAAATACATCCTTTCAACAAAAGCCAAAAATCATGAAAAGGGCCTAACTGGTTTGTGACTGCATAGTCTGACCAGACACATTGGAAATCACAGGATTTCCCTAACTGATGCTAGCTGCAGGAAGCTGTTATAAAAGCTCAGTTTAAGAAAATGTTACCTCTTTAATAAATAATCTTTTCAGCATCATCAAAATCTCCTCACAGTTGGTATACTGTTTTTTCCCAAGTTTTTAATGGTATTACTATCTGTAATATTACTATCTGTAATATTACTATAAAAAAAACTATTGCTAATGGAAATACTATCTGTATTTCTTATTGAAAATGGAAGTACAACCTTTATAAACCACACCTACTTGAGCCACAGACAAATCATTTTTTGGTTCCAAAAAATTACATATAGAGCTAATTCAAAGAGGAAACTTCATATACGTTGAACAATAGTATAAATATAATAAGGAATACACATGTGATTGTGTATTATATTGTATATGGTTATGTAACCCAACATGCACGCATCTTTTAAGGAGTTTGACAGCAGAAACTGGAAGTGACACCTTTGAAGAATACTATACCCCATTGATACAAAAGGCTTGAACCAAGCTCAGCAGTCAAGACACTTGGTAGGAGAAAGGGGAGAAGAACAAGACAGCTTCTTTCCCCATCTGCCATGTTGAAGGAGTACAAGTTCATGCTAAAAAAACCAAAACAAAACAAAACAAAAAACCCCACAACTCCAAAGCAGAACTATTAACAAGCCAAGGACTGAAGCCTTTCCAACCAGCCTTGTGGAATCTTTTCCAGACTTCCTCTTAGCATCAGACTAACAGAGACTTTGCTCAGTCTTAAAACAAGTTACCCCTTTCTTGGCCTTATCTCCTCCGCCTTTTGCTTTTTTTCATCTAGGTAATAAGCATAGCAAAGCCTGGGAAAGCAGCTTGGGTTAAGATTTTAATTACGCCACCCCATCAGCAGTGCAAAGAAGACACATGGGCTGCCCAGAGGAAAGCCAAGGGGCATGTTCCAAACACACACAAAGGAGATGGGTCTTCATGGGCTTGCAGTTAAGCTGCCAAACTTCTTGCAAAAGGCTATCGAACTTACTAAGTCCACTCAGGCTCAAACAAGCAATGGGCAAACTGTCAGATGGGGAGGGTGGGAAATAAGCAAGACTTTCTTTCAACACTTGCATAATGCTGAGGACTAATAGAGCAGAGTGTTGAGAACCATCAGTCCATTTACCTCATCATTATACTCTATGCCCAGTATCCACTACTGGTCACTACCACAGACACAAACTGGAGCTGATACACCAGTTCCTGACCAGAATATTTCAGGTTCAAAGTGAAGGAATAGTAACTTCATAAACATATGCAGTCTTATCACTCTATTAACTGTGCGTACCTTTGTCACTTAGGGACACATCAGGACCTCGGGGCATGTTCTGCAGCACCTATGAACATCTGTACACACCATCTGTTGACGGGTGCCAACACCTACCCCTGACTGCACTAGATGTAGATGGGGAAGAGATAACGCTACAAAACTGAGAAGGCACAACTACCGTA